TAATGACCAACTCATTTCCTGGCCCTAAGGCTGATATAGGATTTGCACCCTAATGCCCGAGTCTGGTATGCCTATATCCTCCCTGTAGGACTCAGAAAGAAACTTTCCTGTCACATGTGACTCTCTCCATGACTCCCATGGCACATTTATATATTTTAATATTTGTTTGTTACTGATTCTACCCAGTGACAAATCAGTGCATAGTCTATGTCAGCCATTTCCATTACTAAATGTCGAACTGGTAACTGTGAGGCAGTCTCAACCTATTCCTCTCTCTCATGCACTGAAGAGAGGGGCAAGTCTACCTTGATAGTACCTAACATTTCCTTTCAGTAACTTACCTCTAGTAGACTCAATAATTTTATACCATTTGGATATGAGCTTGAATTACTGGATCAGTCCATCAGCAGCATTTATTGACCACTCACCAGAGGTGCAACCTCACATGGAGAACTCTCCCCTTCCGCTCATTACATCACAATCCAACTGATTTGAATGGAGGAGAGAGGGAGTAGAGGTAGGATGGTTCAGGGTAGAGGGAAGAGATACTGGGGGAGATACTGAGTTATCTTGAGAGGGCAGTAGAGCAAAGGAAAATTTTGATATAGGCAGAGAGAAAAACCCTCATGGGCGTGCATCCTATTTAGCCTCGCATAGAGTGAGGCCTAGTTTGGATTTGAGAACTGCTATCTCAGATTCGAGCTTGCAGGCAGGGCAGCTCCTATGAAATACATTATAGGAGCCACCGCAACTGGCACATGTGTGTAACTGAGCAGAACAGTTCTAAGTCATATCAGTGTTTGGCTGTGTCACCAAAATGCCATTTCTGATATTGATGGTGGGTGTAGGAGAGGATGTGGTGACAGGACAGGACACTCCACCAGTATAAACTTCATGGTCATTCCTACAGAAGCTAATGTTGGCAATATTGGTGTAGGACTTATGCTGGCCTATGGGAGGAATAGTGTAGCACTGTACTGCCACAGCATCATAGGTGGGTAGGTGGGCAGGATGTTGTGACAGTCTGACCAGTCCTTGTCATATACAGGACAATCAGTTGGGGAGACAGAAACAGTTCTGGTCAAGTATTAAAGGCCCCCTTTTCCTTCTGTAGGGTTGCAAGGATATCACAAAGAATTGATCCCATCTGAATAGGCCAAAAAGAGTACTCATAAGTTTGAAGAGGTGGAAGCAGTAGAAAAACAAGGGCAAGAGGAAGATGGAGTGGTATGGTGTACCCAAACTTTCATGTCAGTTACTCCCCATTGACAATAAATGCCAAGGAATTAAGAATTAGGAATTCAAGACATAAAATTTCTGGAACATCCAAAAACATGGGAAACCAAGTGCTTTTTTGTATATAATCAGTCTAATTATACAAGTAATTCATCCAATTCTTCTTATGCTTCTTTCATTTCTGGATTTTCCGAGAAACGTAATCACTCTGTGTATCTTCTGCTCTTTTTCCTCGTACCCATAGTTCCTTTGTGTCCATGTTGTATGTGGTTCTTCGCTCCCTCCTGAAATGCAGTTCATGTTTTAGCTGAAGAGTGTTTTCTTCTCCTTTTATGTCTCCCTGCAAGACTCTATTTCCCCCCCCCTCAAGGTCTACCTTGCCCGCCCCTAAGTGCCACAATTTGTAACTTTTTAAAACTAAATCACACATATGTATATGTCTGGTCATAGCTTTAAAATACCCATAGAATAGCAATTTATTTTTAATTTCCGTTAATTTCGCTCCAATTACCAATCCAGACCCCCCAAGAAAAAGCTGAACTGACGTCCCTGTCTTTCACCCTCGTGTCTTTTCCACACAGGTGAAAGGGCATAATGCACACAGATAGAAGGGAAGGAGGAATCGCTTATTTTTAGTGGTTTCTGCCTATTGTGTTTTGTGATATAGTGAAAAGTTGACTGTACTGCCATATCCTCCATGAGATAATTGGCGTCCTAGGTCTAAACTACCCTTATTGGAGCTTACCCTGTGGTTTTCCTCAGATTGTGACCTAGTATTCTTGCAAACTAAGTGCCTGCATTAGTGTCTCTGTCCTTGACCCCTTTTCTGGATCTGCTTAGGCATATTAGCCCCTTTTTAGACCCACCACATGGTCTTCTACAGGCTTAGACCTTGGACTAAGGATGACGCTGGAGGGCTCTGTGGGTTATGGTCAAGGGGTGCCACTATCAACTGTCATCCTGGAGCAGGCACTGCCAGATGTGGTTGATTCCCTTGCTCTACTGTCTCAGTCTGTGATCTCATAATAATGCTTTCTGTGTCCCGTCCTCTCCTGCTTCAGTGGGGTTGTGCAATATGGGGCATTGTTGGGGGCTGCTTCTCTTTCCCCTCTTGATTGGTACTGAAATGGATGCAGCACACACCCTTATTTTCTCCTCTCTTGTGTTATACAAATATTTCTTTTTCGTCCAGTTGTCTCCCTGCTCTGTGAACTGTAAATCAACAGCAACTGTCCATGGAACAAGCGTCGGCTAAGCCGCCCTT